AACTGTCCTTGTGGCGTCGGCCCTTTTGCGAACCCGATGGAAATTAAGTCTTCTCACTACTGCGGGGAAGACAAGTGCTCAAAAGCTCTACGTCAGCGTCAGGATATAGTCAACGAAGGCGGACGTGTAACATCTGAGAATAAGCCTTTCGCCCGGTGGGCTCTTTTTTAAAAATGGTGAAGAAAACCCAGAGCCTCCCACCTTCCCTCAGGCGACCTGGCAGCTGACGGACAGGCTCTGGGGGCTGGCGGCCCCGGGGGCGTGCGCGGCGCTCCCCTCAGACAGGCGGGGGATTCTGATGCGGATGGTGAGGACACAGAGTAGGAGGAAAATGGCTTTGAATGAAAGCAGAAAGGATTTCAAGGTCTATAAAGACACCGCTGGAGTGACTGAAGCTGAGAACGGTCCTCTGAGGAACTCTGACGGTGCCCAGCTCCAGAAAGCTCCTAAAGCCTTTCCTTGGGGCCAGACTGGACCCTGACACAGCCGCCCCCTGCGACTGGGGGCTGGGGGGTCAGTGGCCACAGGCAACCTGTGAGGCTCTTTCTCCCTGGATCCCAAATAAGGAACAAGCTAAATCCAGCTTTTGAACTCTTTCCACAAAATCTGGTTTTGAGACTGTTAACACAGTAAAAAGGTCACAGAGTGAGCTGATCAGTGATTTTTGGGTTCTGGATCCACAGTCTCCTTCCCTGGGGTAAAACACTTAGCTTAAGAAAATGAAGATGCGAGGGCTTGCAATTTTAGTGGGAAATGAAAAGCGTTACTTTTTATTTTCAAAATACTGCCCCATGACACATACGGATGCCATTCAGTGAGGTTGCGGAGAGGGGCTTAAGACAGTGGCCAGTGGGCAAGCAATTCTGATTTTCACCAGACGACTTACTTAAAATGTTTTTATTGCTGATAATTATCCAGCTTGCCCTAAAAAATTCCATTCTGTGATTCTTTTTTTCCCCAAGTCACCAAAGCTTCTCAGAATTCCCCACTGACTTCACCATCCTCTCAGTAATCTGAGTCACTGTCCAACCCACTGCGTGTATTCAGTGTTTGGGTGAAGTTGTGTTGATACACACGGTCCCTTTGAAGTAAAAGAGCATGTTCTTTAGGCCAGAGATTCAGCAGCATCCTTGTCGTCTCTAAATGCGCAGTCCAGCTTCCCAGAGGCCATGAGAACCCATCTCCCTAGTCCCCTTCCTCTGAATTCACCTGGGAGTTTCCGCTCCCTGTCCAAGCACCGCGTGCCTGTCTGCCACCGTCCTCCTAGGAAGTAGACGCTCTGCTCTTAGTAGTGTTTCTTAGTCCTTCAGGGGTGTGCACCCCCTGTGAAAATCTGAAGACAGCCAGTAACCCTCTCCCTTAGGAAGTATGTGTGTAAACCAAGGCTTGCAGACAACATCGGGGGTCCACAGAGGCCCATCCGCAGACCCCATGTTACCCAAGACCCCACCTTGGCCTTTATTGTCCCAGCTGCCGTGGAAACTGACATTAAAATCAGGACATGGGGGGAAATGTGTACATTTATAACACAGGGCAGGGATCGCTTAACCCTTCACGGAGATTGAAAAAAGTCTCTTTCTTTGGAAATGTAAATATGTTAATCTACTTGATAAGTGTGACATGGCCAAACATGACTAAGTTACTTTTGAAGCTCTGGTGGCTTTTGATAATGATGCTTTCATCTGTGGTCATGGCATCACATCTTCTGGGTATCAGATCCCTGTACATATGATTACAGAGTCTTTACTGAACCCTAGAGCCATCACTTAGCCCTAATAAGACTGCTGACACCCAAATAACACTTGGGGTATGTTCTGATGAGCTTTAGGATTCCATTCTTTAAGATTTTTTTTTGAAGGGGAAGGGGTGGTAATTAGGTTTATTTATTTTTTTAATGGAAGTACCAGGGATTGAACCCACACCGCCGTGCATGCTAAGCATGTACTCTACCACTGAGCTGTGCCCTCCCCCTCATTCTTTGAGATTCTGCTCAGATGTCAAGTATTCCAGTTTCCCTTACCTGACAGCATCCACTTCAGCCAGCTGGGTGGGAGGTCCCTGACTGGGTCTTACCAGACCATCTCGTGTGTGGAGGCTGGACCCCGTGTGTCACAGCTCCGTGGTTAGCTGTCCCCCTCTCCACCACACCGTGAATTCCACCCAAGGAGGAGCACAGTCATTCTCACCTTTGAGCTCCAGCGGCCGGCTCAGTCAGCACTCGGTACGTGTTTGCTGAATGCAGACTGAATCGCCGTGGACTAGCTCTTCACGAGTCCTCCTGGGATAAAGAAACAGACAGGCCAAGGCTAAAGGAAAGCAAGCCAGCGTTAAGATGAGCGGACAGCTCAGTGCGGTAAGTCTGCTGAGCGAGACGAGAAGAGGAGGGAACCGGCTGCTGACTTCCTGGCTGATGTGGCGCAAACCCCAACAGTGGCGGCAACGCAGTTTGGCAGGCAAAGCCCAGTCCCTGAGGCTGATGCTCCGCAGTCTAACCCGGGCCTGTTTCCTCCACACCCCCAAGCTCCCCACACTCTCCACTCCTGGGCCGTATCCCTCTAAGAGCACCAGGCAGTTTCACGCACCCTGGGTCTCACTGGTCCTGCTGCTTCCTCAGCGGAACACCTGTCCCCATGTCTGCAGATTAAAATGTTCCTCGTCTCTCAAGAACCTGCTCAGAGCCCATTCTTCCCAAGGAGCTGCCCCAAGTCCTCGGACCAAGGGATTTCTCCTCCTCACGCATCCCGGGGGCCCTCACCGCCTCTCCTGAAGCTCTCATTGTTCATTCTTGCTCAGGGCCAGGAAAAAAGAAATCATCATTTCCAGTGGACTCTTTTTCTTTTATTAATCCAGTGATTTTTTTTTTCATTTCTGACATCTCTTCCCTTCTGATCACCTTTATATAGACAACTGCCTTTAGCATTTGTACGATGACAAACCGTCTCAAGCAAATTTGATGCACAAATGTCGTAAGGAATCTGCCACACATCTTTTTTAGCAAAACAGGACAATCTAGATTCTTGTTGCAAAACGTGTGATGAAGCCCTTTTTGTTGAGTGAGCCACTGAATGAAAATGCCGTATTTTCTTTTATTCTTACAAATACATTGTTGACTCATCGATTCTTGGGTTTGAGGCAGTTCACCTAGGACACTGTCGTCTGAAGACTCGGTCTGAGGTTTTACTTAGACGGTCAATTTCATCATCATTGTTCGAGTCTGGGGAGCTGCTCTCCTCTTTGACCTTATCTTCTGAGTCATCGAATTATTGCGAAATATAGTTCTCTGTCAGTTTTATTTCTTTGCCTTTATCAACACTGTTGAATTCCCAACCGTAGACAGTAAGCTAAAAGCAGCCTCCAAATGGGGATTTCTGTTACTGTTGAATCATCCTTCTAGGCAGCTCCATTTTTCTGTTTTATTATTCTTGTCTCTTTTTAGGAGAATTGGTAATAATTGATGTGTAATGATGAAAGATAATTACCAGAGTGATGAAATAGCAAAATATTTCAAAAGATAAGAAAAATAAGATCATTTTTTAAAAATCCCCTCATGTGTCTTAGGTTTATAAAAGGGTCCAATGGGGCCATATAGTAATTACAAAATAGAATGAATTTTATTTACAAAATTAGTCTATTTTCTCTTTGTTCACTGGAACACCTTCAAGAAAGAATAAAATCCATGAAATACCAAGCCTTACAAACAGAACAACTCAAAGAGAAACTCAAAAACTAAAATCGGGCCCAGTGGACCCTGGTACTGTGCCAAGGGTTGTCTTATGAGAATTCCATACACATCTGCCCAATTTAAGGTGAAGAGTAAATAGAATGAGAGTTTCCATGTCCATGTCTTCCTAGAGTTCCCCAGGCCTGGTCAGGGCTCGACTCATAGAAGGGGCTTAGGAGAGATTCACCAAATAGATACAGGAGCCAGAGATGTAATTATGTAAGTATCAAGGGGATGTCACATAATATTCCTTACACATGTGCAAAGACTGCACCACCTTAAAATCTTTGTGATTTGTCTAGAATACTGTTCTTCCCTCTCTCCCTTTTAGCTGGGTAATGGCTACACTTTGAATCTCAACTCAAACATCACCTCCATGGGGGTGCTTTCCCTCTCAGCCCTGCGATCAAGTGCTTCACAGTAGAACCTCCCTCCCCAGCCCCTGCTCCTCTGCACTTTCCAGGGTATTATGTGTCTCCTCCACTAGGGGGCGGCAGGGGCCGCCAGGCAGGGTTGCTCAGCCCTGCGTCCGCAGCACCCGCACAGTGCTGCCCCCTAGTGGGAACTCAATAAGTCTCTTGCGAATGAAAAAGCACTGAACGCAAACCCATTTCTGAGTATAGATACTCACCTGCCTAAAACTTTTTAACAGTGTTAAGATGCATGTGTTTGAGAAAGGAAAAGGAAAAAGAGAAAGCCCGTCCATAGGGAAAGCAGATCAGGTGAGAGAGCTTTACCTTCCTGGACTGCCCTTTACTCGGGGATTGTTGGGAACGGCCAGCAGCGTGATTGTGGCAGAAGCGTTCTCAGCTCGTGACTCTGGCTTTCATTTAGATGTCAGCTGGCTTCTCAGAGACTGACACCAGCAATGAGGCTCGGCACCCCCGGGCCGGCACAGACGCTGCGGAGGAGAAACTGAGAAACAGGTTGTATGAGTTGGCGATGAAAATGAGTGAGAAGGAGACTTCTTCAGGGGATGACCAGGAGTCCGAGCCCAAGACAGAGTCTGAGAACCAGAAGGAAAGTCTGTCCTCTGAAGACAACAGCCAGAGCGTCCAGGAAGAGCTGAAGAAGGTAAGGGCTGTGAAACCACCTGTGGATGGATGGGTTTCTGCAGCTGGGGTGTGGAGGACGGTTCTCCATCTGTGCAAAGATGTGCTGGGCCCCCAGAGAGCGCTCCCTGAAATGCTCATCCCTGTGCACTTGCGGGAGCCCAAGAAAACCCCACTTGATTAGCCCTGAGTGATTCAATCAGGAAAATAGCAGTCTGTGTCTTCGGGAGTCTCCCAAGACCCCTCATCTACTGTCCTTCACTGAGACAGCCCTTCAGTTCTGCGTCTGTACTGTGGTACCTGTGGTCTCTCCCACTGGTAAAGAGCGCTGTTACTTCCCGCCCCACCCCCTCCGCAAGCAGTGTGTCCTGTGGATTGAGCACATCTAGCCAGTCCTCTTTCAGCCAGTGAGGAGGCGTCACTGCATAGTGTAAAGTCTTTTTGTTGCAAGTGGCCTTCTGCATCATTCATCTCTGCGGTTTCAGATTTGGGCTTGTTTGTCTTAGCCTCAAATCCTTTCTCAGACAAAACCTTACATGGAATCCCAGTGTTTTAAACAGATAGAAGCACTGCTGCTCTTGGGGTCCCCAAATCCCTAACCACTTGATCGTCTGTCCCACTGTCCTCCCTTCCTTCTCTGAAGCCGGCCTCCAAGGTCCAAGGGACATTGTGTGAAAACCACAGAAAACAGACCCTACCTCAGGCAGAAAAGGATCCCAGACCCTCTGCCCACCATCCTCCGGTGTGTACACGGCTTCCTGCTACAGCTCCTCCAGGCACCTTCATGCTAGACTCAGCCCCTTGGTCAGGATGTCCCTGCTGCCTCCAGTGGGAAGAGAAGCTAGAATGTGCTGAGTGTCTCTTATGTGCCTGGTGCTTTGCACATGTTAGTTCATTTAACATAAAACCTTTGAGGCAGACAGAGCCCCATTCTGCAGATGAGGAAACTGAGGCTAGTCCTGAAGGGACTTACCCAAGGCCCACGGCCAATAAGTTTCAGAGCTGAAGCTGCATCACAAACCTGCTTAGCCTCAAATCACAGGCTCCTTCCTTTACAACAAGCTGCCTCTCCTGAAACACGGGTAAGATCTCATCTGGTAACATCCCAACTTCTTTTTGTGATCAGTTTTCTCGTAATCTGAAAGTAGGCATATAAGCCAGCTAACAAGTTGCTGGTAACCCACATGTGTGGTGAATGAGCCCCTTTCATCCACTCAGCAGCCAAGGGGGGGTACCGTGCATCCTCCACAGCTGAGCCCCTGAACCCTCCAACCCTGCAGACCCTGCCTTTCCTTCACTCCCAGCCCACCCTCCAGAACCACCGAGTCCTCACTCATCAACGTGCCCGGTCCTTTGCTGGGGTCCCCATGCATCTTTCCTCCCGTGTGTCTGTGGGTGAAGAGTGGATCTCAGCCTTCACAGGCAGCCCCTCCCAGGCTCCAGCCCA